GCCTGATATTTCCATCCTAGCATCATGGTACACTGAACAAGGGAATTATGAGAGCCCACTGGTGGTGATAATCGATGATGTGCAAAGATGCTGTGGATCTGTCTTGTCTGATTTTATCATTATGTTGAGGTATGATTGCTTCTTTTACTTCCCTGTTATCCCTATCTATCTCCTTATTTAGAGTCTGTCTTAACTAGTCTGATGATCTTGTATAATTGTGGCGTTTTCACATGTGTGTTTTGTTTTGCTTTCTTAATATTTCAAATGTAAGTTTTTTTTGCATTTCAAGATCCTCTGCCCCATAGAGGCTTATCAGGTTGCTATTTACAGGGAATGGGTAATTAAGATTCCAATAATCTTAATAGTTGGAGTTGCAACCCTTGATGCTCTGAGAAACACACTAGCTTCAAATGCTCTCCAGTGCCTGTTTCCTCGTGGGTTCACATTGGGAACACCAGCTGAAAGGATGGATGCAATTGTTGAGGCTGTTCTTCTAAAACATTATCATGGATTCAGTATTGGGAAGCAGGTGACAACCTTCTTGAGAAGTTTCTTCTTAAGACATGATGGAACGTTGACCTCTTTCATTAGAGCTCTGAAGGTTTGTATAGGAGCATTTGCCATTTCTACTACAATATCCTTCCTGTTTCCTTGATTTACAAAGCCTCATGTGGTTATCATATGTGTTTTACTAACTGCTTGTTTGTTGTAACAAGTCCTTTACAGATTGTTATGGTTCAACACCTTTTAGTAGAACCTGTAAGCTTTGCACTTGTGGGGTTAATTAACGAAGAAGACACCAAGGTGAGGTTTATTCCTCCATTTTTTTTATCTTTGAGATCCCGCTTTCTTTTTTCTATTTGGTTCTTGTAGGTAATTCGTTCAATCTTGAGTTTTATTAGATGATTATGGATCTTCTATTTTATTATGGATCCAATTTTCAAAATTGATGGTTTGGTGTTCAAAACCTGTTCTGCATATTTATTAGGAATTGGGACAACATATAGTGTAGGAATACATATATTTTGGGGTGAATAACTACTTTATAGTTGTGTATTTTGCATATATTTCATCTGTTGTGCGTTTGCATATGCCCGTGGACAACTATTTTATGCTCAAAAGTTTATTTGCAAAATGTATTTTAAATCATCAGGTTTATTCCAAACTTTTATATTGGGAAAAGTTGTCTCCTGTACTATAAACGATTTTTAATCATTGCAGAGTTTTGGTGGTGAGAATACTTTACTCAGAGAAACTATGGTCAAGCGGTGTCTTGATCTTCCATCATACCAGAGGTTTTGAAGAACTGTGTTTTCACTTTCGCATCCTTTAAATTATTGACTACATCTACTCTTTAGTGAATTGATTTCTTTAATTGGATTGCAAAATCTTCAAGTAGGTCAAGTCGGTCTAACAGAAATGGTGACATCTGGGACTGTGGTTTGTCAGAGCTGAAGAGATTCCGCAAGCTATGGGTCTGTATGGCCATGGTAAGTCTTAAGGTATTTGCTTTTAGTAAATGTTAATGCACCATATCCTAGTATCCACTTTATAAAATGNTCTGTATGGCCATGGTAAGTCTTAAGGTATTTGCTTTTAGTAAATGTTAATGCACCATATCCTAGTATCCACTTTATAAAATGACCGCAGCACAATTTTTGGTGTGGAAAGTCTCTAAAGAAAGAAACCTGATTCCTTTTTGTCTGACACTAAGACCTCTATTTCTTTTTTCCTTGTATATTATTTATGTCATTCAGGTGTACTATACATTCGGTATACATACTGTCAACAGCTAACTTATTTTGCTGAGGAAACTATGCATACATCTTCTTCTTTCTCCTCAGTTACGTAAATTTTTTAGAAACTCAATTTCTTTCCATCTTGATTTGGATATGATGTAAATCCAGGGCTGATTAGTGATTGTTAACTTCTCTAAGCACTAACATCATTCCGGGAGGTCATCAATTCTCTGATGTCCAAATGTTTAGTATATGGTGCAAAGATAATTTTCAGTTATTTGATAGGCAAATGTTGTTGCAGTGTCTGTATGAAGTTGGAAAGAATTACAAAATCACCCTGCTAGACTTGTACTGTGACATGCTTGAACCTGAGCTTCTCAACTCCGGGACTCCTTGTCATTTTGAATTGGAAAAGGATGATCACTCTTTGTTTGGAGGCTTGCAAAAGGGAGGTTTTGTCAATCAGATCATTCAGATAGTTAGGTACACATTCCTCTTGTTTGTTATAAAAATACCTTACATCCACTTCATTTTACTTGAGCATTCCTTATATAGGTCAAATTTTTATTGGAAAATATCCAAATACATGGAAGGATAGTAGGATTACCTTATATTTAAATAGCAACGGTTGATTGGCCATTTTTTTCCATATTGGATGACATGCAGTACAAAATGGAAGAATGTGCAGCACTAGCATTTATTGTCTATTGTTGACTGGAAAAGGATCTTCTCTTCTTTTCTTTTATGAACAGGCACTGATAAATCTTCAGAATATCTATTTACACCATTAATTAACTGCTGATATAAAGTTCTATATATAATAAATTTGGAGGTTGGAGCACTGAGTTTTTTGTTTACTCAGGGGTTTGCCAGCCGTGGAATTATGTGAGTTGCTTAAGAGTTGGGAAACACTTACAAGAAGCATCACTAAGGTACCATTATTGTTTATTTTGTTCAGTTTTATAGAACGGTGAACTCCCATTGTTGTGCTTGCAAATTCTGACATTGAAAAAAGTGCAGCTCCATCGTTGGAACTACTAAGCACTTTACTCGAATATTATCAACAAAGCATTTATGAGGTTTCGATTTGATTGTGTATTTGCAAAGAGTATTGATTATATAAAAATATATTATTAATTAAATTCTTAACCACCACAACAATTGATACGTCTAACTAAGGATGAAAGCATTTGAATTCCAAGAAGAATGCATTAGAATTGAAAGATTGTGAAAATCACTTGGACTTGAGTACAATCATAATTATTCCTATGCTTCATGTATCATTGACTGATCAACTTTTCTCTCCTATACTTTTTTTTTAGTCTTAGGGTCCGTTTGATTGCAAGAATGAAATTTGGATAAAAAGAAAACGAATTTCGGAGAATTGAATTGCCTACAACTTGTTTTCCTGAGAATTGTCTATTAAATGTGTTTGCTTGGTATAATTTTTCACTTGAAATTTTCTATATTTTGGTGTTCGTCTGGCTTTTTTATTTTTATTTTTTTAATGAAAATTTTCAATTAGAGGGAGAGAATTTGATACAATTGGGGATATAATTTGTAACAACTGCCAAAAAAAATTAAAAATTAAAAAAAGAAGCGGCTAGAAAACCAATTTCAACCAAAACCAATTCCTTAAAAACCTGAAAAAAGAAGTCACGTGGGGGGTTGGGTGGAAAATCAATTCCATGGAAAATTTTGTCCATCAAACATACCATTTGGATGGAAAATGGAGCCTATCAAATAGGCCTTTACTGAATAACAAGCCTAAAAGTCTGCACTCTCTTGATTTGTCATCATGGGATACATAGTTTTAGCAATAAAAAATTGCTGTCCCTATTTCTATTCCTATGATATAGCACCACAGGATCCCTTTCTGATATTCCAGTTATTTCTGGCATCACTGTCGTTTCTTCTCCCTTCTCATCTTATCCCATTAGCAGTTATTGTCACAGGTTTAATCATACGAAGAGTCAATCCATGTTATATGGCCACATGGGAGAAATTGCACTGAAGGAATCATGGCGGGCAACAACATTCAAAGAGAAAAAATGTATAAAAGAAAACCTTGAAATAAATAATATACAATATTATTTTATTTGGAGTACCATTGAATTGTTTCATTAGAGAGCGGCGGAATTAGTAGGTGTTTGCTTTTTTTTTAATGCCATTGACTTGTAAGTATTTATCCATTAAAAATTTACAGGTAAAGAAGTTTAGCATTAGGTTCATAGACTTGCTTCATTGACTTTCATGTTTTTAGCCTTCATGAATAATTTGAAAATAGCTTAGTTTCTGGCAAAACAGATCTTACCAAATTTGGATTACTCTTTTTTGTCATTTAAGTTTCACTTCTTTTGTTATCATTTATACTGATGCAATATCTATTCCCATTGACCTGTTCATTTGATTCATTCATATATGTAATGAATAATTTGTCCAGTTAAACGAGAAAGTAAAGGAGCTGCAGTCTCTGACAACATTTGATGAGAATCGTCCAAGACGGGACTTGACAGAGACATCCAAGTATTTCTCTTTGCTGCTTCATCTATAATTGAATGATATGTAATTTTCATATCTGCTTTTATGTGGTCCTTGTTATGCAGATATCTTCTGCTAGTTAAATATTAGCTCTCAACATATTAGTTTGGGCCTCTTGACACTATCTAGTTTTAAAATGGATGAAATGAGGTGAGTACCCGGTTGTAAATTACTGGCTCAGGCCTTGGGTTTGCTCCTCAATGGTCACCAGTTTGAGTCCTTTCAGGGCCACTGAGGTGAGTACCCGGCTATAAAATTCAGGGTCTCATGAAATTATCGAGGTGCACGTAAACCGGCACGGACACCCATGGTCATTAAAAAGAGGAAAAAAAAGAAAAGAAAAAGACAACTGGTTTGATAGCTAGCTAGAGAGGCCCATTTTCAAGTCCGACTTGACCCTCTGCCTTGCATTTGTGTTCGTGCCCCCACATTATTGGCCATGTCAGTGCATTACTATCCCCTGTTGAGCATCATTCCTTGGTCAACACGTTGTGGGGATGTTGAGTAACTTGTCCAGTGCTGGCTAAATGTTGCGGCCCAACCTAATGTATGAAAGAGAGCCTAGACATCCTTTCCACCTAATGCCATGTGGTTAGAAATTAAGATGGCTGCTAGTCCTTTGGGTTAATTTTAGTCATGTATATTCATTGGTCATAGCCTCATAGCACAAGTATAACTATTGACATATAAACTTGTTATATGGCTCATCACGCGATTTGAGCCTTAACATAAATGTCATGTGCTGTTTGTGAAAAAACTAGAGGTGTTACTGTTGTTGAATTCTTATTTAGAGGGTGTTTGATATCCATTTTCATGTAAAAAATGTGTTTTAGATTAGTAAAT